GACTGAAAGCCCTCGATATAGGATCATTTTTTTCCCCGAAGTGAACCAGGTACCGATCTTTTCTAAAAAAATCGCATTTATGGTCCGATTTGCTTAAAATTTGGTACGTAGGTAGCTGTTTGTCTGCATTATTTAGCATATAGGATCCTTTTTTCCGGGAAGTGGACCAGGGACCGATCTGTTCTAAAAAATCGCTCTTATGGTCCGATTTGCTTAATTTTTTTTTCCGTAAAAAATGGTTTAATATAAATATGTCGATAATTTCATTTCCCACATTTGTTATATAGAAGGTTTTTTAAAAATAGCATTTTTTATTGTGAAAAATTAGCAAAAACTGTGAAAAAAGTTTACATTGTCACTGTTTTCGCCATTTTTTGACAATTTCTGTTGAAAATACATAGCATATTGAAATTCCAAAGATGTCTACAATTTCATTCTCCACAACTTTTGTACCTACATTTGTTTTGTACGACGCTTAGATCACGGCCGGGAACGCGATAAACATCGATGGCGGAATGTTGCCAAATCAAATGTAGTGGCAAGACTGTGGATTCATGATCTACGTGTCAAATAGAAGTAAACTGCATCAAAAAATCGCTGTTANTTTGTGAACTTCTATTTAAATGTTTGTGTACAACATATCTCTATTGGTTACAATAAGTTTAAGCTATAATAAAAATTTTTTAGTAATAATTATTGGTTTTGAAAAAAATGTTTGTATAAGATTTTGATACAAAAATCCACCTAAGACTTAAGTGTCATCGGTGTTATTAATGCTGACCTTGTATAACGCTTGACAGAAGAATTTGCTATTAAATTGCAAAGTCAGAATTAAGATCAGTGATAACCGCTAAGTCCCAGAGGGGTTCCAACATCACAAAATAGTTTTTGTGAAAATGGCAGATAGAGGGTATTGACTGAAAGCCCTCGATATAGGATCATTTTTTTCCCCGAAGTGAACCAGGTACCGATCTTTTCTAAAAAAATCGCATTTATGGTCCGATTTGCTTAAAATTTGGTACGTAGGTAGCTGTTTGTCTGCATTATTTAGCATATAGGATCCTTTTTTCCGGGAAGTGGACCAGGGACCGATCTGTTCTAAAAAATCGCTCTTATGGTCCGATTTGCTTAATTTTTTTTTTCCGTAAAAAATGGTTTAATATAAATATGTCGATAATTTCATTTCCCACATTTGTTATATAGAAGGTTTTTTAAAAATAGCATTTTTTATTGTGAAAAATTAGCAAAAACTGTGAAAAAAGTTTACATTGTCACTGTTTTCGCCATTTTTTGACAATTTCTGTTGAAAATACATAGCATATTGAAATTCCAAAGATGTCTACAATTTCATTCTCCACAACTTTTGTACCTACATTTGTTTTGTACGACGCTTAGATCACGGCCGGGAACGCGATAAACATCGATGGCGGAATGTTGCCAAATCAAATGTAGTGGCAAGACTGTGGATTCATGATCTACGTGTCAAATAGAAGTAAACTGCATCAAAAAATCGCTGTTACAAATTTTTTTCAAATTTCCTACCAAATTTATCTAATTTTACTGGGCTATGTATGCGCGGCACTGTTACCAACTTGGTGCTTTTCGCACTAAATTTAGTGTTTTTCTTTATTCGAAACGCGAGTTTGGTGCTCGGTGCGTTTTTTGGCGCTTCTTTTATGTTGCTTGGACCAGAAATCGACCTTCAGCCCTTTAGTTTGTTATTTTTCATGACTATTCAAAAAAGCAGCAGCACCTCCTTACAGCTAAATTAATAAAGAACATTTTGAAGAAATAATAATCGAAATTGTATGCAATTTGTAGAGGATGCAGCTTTTTGACACAAAAACATTTTTCCTACTAAGCGCCGGTGGATAATACGCTCAAATAAGACACATTAAAAAGGGAGATTAAATTTCGTTATGTTTCAGGTGCGGTGTAGATTTAAACTCCCACATAGTTCATGAAATTTTATTTTTTGTTTTTGCTTTCGTTTGAAAGGGATTGTTGAATAAATCTAAAATTTAAACAGCTAGGGGAAAATTTATCAAACGCAACGCTGGACAAAAATATTTGAATTTATAGAAAACAATAAATTCGACCCGTGGGCAAGAAACATTGATTTTTATTAGTTTGAATCGGAATCCCTACAATCAAATTTTTTATGCATACAAAGCCCCTTAAATACTAAGGAAAAAATTCGGTGTTATTTTATAGAAAATACCCGATTTTTTTTGGGTTTTAGTGCTTTTCCAAATTCAAAACTTGGCGACACTGCTTGAAGTATTTATTTGATTGTCTCCGTGGCGCTTAAGGTTCTTTGCTTTCAGTTTTTGTTTACAAATGCAACCCTGCCTACAGAGCTGGGCGATAAGGATAACATGTGTAATCGATTGCATTTAGGATTACGATTACTTTAATCGCAATTTCAAAAATTATTAAATTAGGATTGCGGTAATCGTTCATTGAATACACCTTAGATTACGATTACAGTAATCGTAATTTCAACTTTTTTAATTACAATTACTGTAATCGTAATCTAAGTTCGTTCGATGAATGATTAGAATAATTTTAAATTAAACATTTTTCTAATTACAATCTTTTGAGTAATCTTAAACGAAGTTATTCTATAAATTTGCGAAATATAAATGCGCGCTAACGATAATATGAGGATAATATGTATTTATTTAAAAAAAACAGCAAATAAAAGAAACTAATATTAAAATAAAAATAATAAGTAAAGCAGTTTGGGCGAGTAAACTTGTATAACCGGCAAATAAAACAATACAGGATTAAATTTAAAGTAATCGTTCATCGAACGAACTTGGATTACGATTACAGTAATCGTAATTTTAACTTTTTTATACCCGAGCGCACTTGTGCACAAGGGTATATTAATTTTGTTCACATAACGGTTGTTTGTAACAGCCAAAACGAATCCAGATAGTGAGACAAATGTATACATAAATGCTCAAAATGAATAGAGAAGTCGATTAAGCCATGTCTGTCTGTCCGCCCGTCTGTCCGTCCGTCCGTGTACACGATAACTCGGGCAAAAATTGAGATATCTCAAGGAAATTTTAGGTTTGTGGTATGCAGGTTTCCAATTATCCAAGGTAGGTTGGTATTGAAAATGGGCGAAATCGGACTGTAACCACGCCCACTTCCCATATAACGGTAATTTTCAGAAATACGAAAACTGCGATATTTTAGTAACTACTGAAGATTATTCACTCAAAATTGATATTTACAATAACTTTTAGACGAAAAATAAGAATATTATAAATTTTTGGAAAATGGGCGTAGCCACGCCCATTTATGGTTACATGTGTATATCTTCGTAACCGCTGCACCAATTTCTTCCAAACTTGGCACAGTTATTGGCCTTGGCACAGCATTCTACGAATTTGTACCAAACTCGGTATAGTTATTGTGCTTGCCACATAAAAGCAAAACGTTGCAAATTATTGTAATCGGACTAAAATTGAGGCCGCTTTTCATATAACGGTAAATTTCAGAACTGCTTGAAACTTCAAAATTTCGAAATTTAAGGACTCTAGTTTACTCAAAATTGATACGCCCGGACTTACCATGTAGAGGTAGTTTTCGGAAAGGTGAAAGTCATATATTAAATACTTGCGCCGGGTATTTAATGTTCGGTTCCGCCCGAACTTAGACTTTCTTACTTGTTAAAATTACGATTACTGTAATCGTAATCTAAGTTCATTCGATGAAGGATTACTGTTATCGTAATCTTTTTTTAGCTTGTTGGGATTACTGCAATCCTAATCGTTTAGTAATCGTAATCATTATCGCCCAGCTCTGCCTGCCTATCGTTTGACACTTTTCATGAATTTGCAGGAAGAAAAACTTCGGACTAAGACCTGCAACTTCTGACTGAGAGAGAGTGCAAGTTACTCTCACATAGGGACGTTCCGATACCATCAAAGTATCGATACCTACTCAAATGAGTTTACTAAAATAGCTATTTCGATACTACTTATATGAGTCAAGCGAATGTATCGATACCTACTTATATCGATAATTTTTCATCCTTTTAAATTCAACAAAGCGAAAGTAATTTTCAGGCGTTTTCTGTGACATAAAGCTTTGCACCTGAGTGGAAGATCGACCTATCTCGGAAGAAAGTTCGAAAACGACCTATCTCAGAAAACTTTTCAAAAGCGCCCTATTTCAGAATTTGATTGGAAAACGCCCTATCGTAGAAAACTTTTCAAGAACACCCTATTTCAGAATTCGGTTCAAAAACGCCCTATCTCAAATATTTTCAATATATTTGCAGTTGAGGTATCGATATGTATATTTCTTCTTTAGTAGCACTTAAAGTAATACGATTACTTAGACAAAAAATTCAACCTTTGAAAGGATCCCACAAAACTTTACTACTATAAAGATTGCTTACACTTTGTTGTGGTATCACTAATATGTAAAAATATATCCACACTTTAGAATTTGGCGGTGTAATTGCTTAAAACATTTTTTTTAAATGAAAACGAAGCAACTATTTTCCATAGAAAAAATATTATCGACAGGATATGGCACTTTCTCAAATCGATTCGATACAAGTACTTTTCTTTCGATACCAAGTAGGTATCGAAACAACCATTCGAGTAAAAAAAGTAGTTGGTATCGAAACAAAAGTATCGAGTACATACTCGTATTTACTTGTATCGGAACATCCCTACTCTCACAAGAGTGGTTTGACTTACAGGTTTTTTTGGCACCTGTGCGCTGTTTGTCAAGTGTAATTGCTTATAAAAATTTTAAAACTACAATTAAAAAAATTCTCAGAATCCCTTTCTCATTTATAAACCTTTCTACTCACAACTTTTCACGCAAATATTCCAACTTAACTGCAATCCGAGGTCCAGTTGAAAAATTTTCACCCATAATTAAGTATATATAGATATGTACATATTTAAATTCAGATTAGACAAAATGAAGCCGCAAATTATAATTAGCAACATATTTTTTTTTTTCAGTCACTATGTTTAAAGGACTAAAAATGAAATCAAGTAAGTATACTTAAATGCTTCATACAAAAATATTTTGATTTTTAGAAATATTTTCCATGAGCCAAGGTTAAAAATTCAGTGCTATTGGTTTTGAAGCTTTTTGGCCGGTTATAATAAATAAAACAAGTGTTTACTTCTTCTCTTACGCGTTTCGACGCATAGTCGCGTCTTCTTCAGGGAGTTTTAATATTAAGAAATAAAATTATCACAACATAAATTAAACATATTTAAAAACATTAAGACACGTTAAAAAACACTGCACATCCTCCATCGTCAAACCTCAGACATTGTGTCTGACACATTCTCACAATCTCACAAAAATAATGATCTATTAGCATTATACAATTACACAGTGATACAAAAGTAAACAAAACAAGAAATAAATAATATAAAAAAAACTTTTTAATATACAACGCTTTTATAAATGGACTAAAAAGTAGAAAATAATATTTCTCAGTCCCATAGAATTTGTTTTGATAATACTTTCGCTGTAGAAATTTTAGGTCTACGTTATGTAGTTTGACTATTGTCAATTAAATCGAATGCTTTGTATTGCATGCGCTCCACGTTTTTCATTTTCAATTTCATAGATTGTTTATAATGACTTTTGCTAAAATTTCAAAATCAAAAG